TGGTGCTGTAGTAGTCTGTGGTTGATCTATGGCCCCTCCTGTGATTTTTTTTTTTTTGTGATCCAATTGACATTTTAATCATTTAGCAGACGCTCTTATCCAGAGCGACTTACAATTAGTGAGTGCATACATTTTTCATACTGGCCCCCCCCAGTACTGGGGGTTACAGCTGAAAGATGGCACATGTCACATGCTCTGGGACATTCCATCCCCTGTCACTTGGCTGTAAGACCACCATCCCATGCCCTGCCTGTCTGACCTCTGCTCAAGCACTAGCAGTGAGTGCTGTGCCCCTATCACTAGCTGTAACATCCCAGAGAAAGCCCCCAGTCTTAATATTACAACTGATCATAGCAGGTATTAGGCCTCAGAGGACCCTGTTTGTTGTGGTGCTGGTCAGGAAATAAATTCCTTCGATCTGCTTGTGTGTACTCTGTGTGTTATTTCTCAATTGTGTACACGTTTCACCATAAACCGCCACCTGTCTGCTAAACCAGTTGAGGTCACTTCCATCCATGCAAGAATGCTCTTGGTTTCAGAAAGTGATACCGTGAAGAGTACGTGGTTCTCTAATACATATTTGACTCACTCCAAGCCCAATACATATTTGACTCACTCCAAGCCCAATACATATTTGACTCACTCCAAACCCAATACATATTTGACTCACTCCAAACCCAATACATATTTGACTCACTCCAAACCGAATACATATTTGACTCACTCCAAACCGAATACATATTTGACTCACTCCAAACCGAATACATGTTTGACTCACTCCAAACCCAAAACGAATGAACGATAGAGAGAATAGAGAATTGTTAATTAACCATAAAGGTCAAGCAAATCTGCATGAAGGAATTAGAAGACACTTTGAATCATATTACATGCAGTGTAGAATTCCCTTTGGAATAAAACAAATGACCAAGTAGTGAACGTTTTAATATAATATATTAATGAAAGTTTTAATAGTAAATGGATAAATTAATGAATTCATGGATTATGAATGTCATTAAATTAACCTTTCATTATATGCCTATGTTTTTATTTCATAATGGTGAAGCAAAATTTTTCTGGCGGTTTGTCAGACCTGGGTTCAAATAGTATTCAAAGACAATAAATACCTGAGTATAGTAAACACATACTGTTTGGACCCAGGTCTGGTGGTGTGTCAGGGTGGCAGTTGATCCCTCACCCCAGCAGACAGACAGACAGACAGAGGGTGGGTGTTCCTGCCAGTCCCTCCCGGGCCAGTTTATCAGGAGGTTTGACCTCATTGGCTTTGATTGGAGATCAGAGGGCTGATTTGGACAAGCCCAATGTCCATTCTCTCCCCTGGCTAAATCTGTGTGTAGTCTGGCTAATCCCTTTGGCCAGGGCAACAGGCCACGCTTCGTCTGCTCTCCTCAATAGAGACAGCAGCTTTGATTTCTCACTGCATGGAGATGGTTCATTCTGCAGCCCATCCGCTCCCCAGTGCCAGAGGGGGCTGACGGGACAGGGCAGAGGAGGGAGGGGTGGCTGTTGTTCTCTACTGTGGAATGTGGAGGAGAGGGATGCCTCATGACCGGTGATGGGATGAAATTGATTAGTGTGTGTGTTGTTTCCGTGGCCGTGCACAGCGGACGTTGTGGAGAAGCCTCCCAGACAGCAGTGTGTTTCCTGCTTTCCCATTCGGAGGTCTGTTCAGCTCCTCCTCTCCTCCCCACTTCCTCCCAGCACATCTTAAATAAGCAGTCATCTGACCTCTCCATGCTGGTGGTCTCTCAGGGAGGATGTGAGGTCACACAGTTGATGGCGTCTCTTTGTGAAGTATTTTTACTCGTGTTGATTGGCCAGTGCGTGGAAATAAACCTAGGATTGCACACAGTGAGTAATATGGTGGCGACAGGCCGTATCACCTCCAGAATACACCGTCTGAAGGACTTCATAACAAGATACGCTGTCTGTCTGATACAGCTGGAGTCTGTCCACATTTACGCCCTCCTAACCATGATGGGGTTAACGAACTCAGGGCACACAG